GAGAAAATGAGGGGAAAGCAGGGGGAGAAGACAGACGATGAGAGACGAATCAAGGAGACTGTCCTCTATTATGAATCAAGAGAAGGAAGGTGGGTGAAGGGAGCCTGCATTGACACTTTAAGCAATGACAGAACTTTCTATAAAAGAAACACTTTCTATGAAATCAGGGAAACTGAGGAAAATTGATATATTGAAATAAGAAACCAGCTGGAGGACTTCCATGCTAAATTTGGACATTAACTTCAGCAGGTTTATTTATTCTCAAGGCTGCCATTGATAACTGTTATATAGCATATGGTTGATCTACAAAAAATGGAGATGTCATGTATAAGTAAAGCTGTATTGCAAAAGTTCCTTCACGGAAATATATTTCAAATACAGAGATATAGCAAACTGTCCTGCCAGCAGAGATATGTAAGGAACGATGGGGGAGCTGGGTAAATGGCATGGGGACTAGCCGGTAAGGGAGGGCAGATTAAGAAGCATTTCACAATCTGCGCTCTTCATCCATCAACACAATCTGCAATGCTTTGAAGAGAGAGAAGATGTGCATGCAAGCATTTTGACTGGAAATGTTTGCTTGGCACAGAAGGGTGCACAACACTCTTTGCACTGTGCCTGTGGTTGTTTCTGTGTCTGCAGAATCAGCTCCGTCTGTCAAGTGAAACAAACGGTTTAGCACAGCAAAACAAAACTGAGAGACATCGTACAAAATCACAAGGATTGTTATATTTTTCTGCCAAACAAAAACGGATCTGGTGCGACAAGCCGGAGAAGACGGCTTAATCCATCGCGGCATTTAAGCCAAATCTAACAAGGATGATGTTTCTATCAGGAGACTATGGGGCAATCTAGAATCAAAGTTCCACCATGTCATTACTCATAAAGATTTTTTAAAATTTCTGGGAATTCCCTCTATTTTAGGTCAGTCAAATTATGCGTATTAAGCCTTAAAATATTCTAAATCAGTTAGTGAACTGAAGCTTGTTTGTGGTTGGAAAAAAAACATTAAAAAGACTAAATGAGACAGCTACAACTTTAACTCCTCCTGGGCTCATTGCTGTTGTTCCAACCTTTAGCTGTACTTTAGGTTGCAAACTCTCTGAAAAAAAGGGACACCTCATGTACGTGCCAGCTGAACCAATTGCATTTACACCTCCTGGCATGGTGATTTTTTTTTAGCCTCCCTTTGACTCACATCTGCATTGAATTAGGTGCATATTTGCAGTGTGCTTTATATTCACTATCAAGGACTTTTTGCTCCAAAGTATTTTCCCATTCCTCCCTATATATGTGCAGGAGGAACATCGCTATGTGAAGGTGCACTGCCTGCAAAAGCAGCGTCAGCATTTAAATGACTCTGTTAGTCCCCCATACTGCTCTGTTGTCCTCATAGGTAACACTTCGCTAACACTCGGCCAATGGGATGAGGGTATTCTGGATTGTTACATGCATGTTGTCAGCTCATTGGTCACAATGCAGGACAGGGCCTGGAAACAAGTTTACCTCAAGTTCTGTATCTAACATGCCCTTATTGTTCATTTTCCATTAGATTTTTACTGATTATTTTTTTACTCTCACATTAATATTGGAAAAAGTGTGTTCCTTTTTCATTAGAAACGGGACAGGTACTTCTATTTCTAGATACGGAATGATTCTGTTTTTCAAGGTGACCGTTGGCAACCCACACTGTAAGTGTGTTGGCATTATAAAACCTACCTCCCCAGAAGGAAAGCTGCAACTTCATTTGACTTTGTTTCATTTTGCTTATTTTTTAGTCTGCTTAAAGAAATTTAAGGTTAAGGCAAAGTCATTTTTTAAGAGTTATTATGGTTTTACTAGGATCTAGCAACACCCAGCTCCATCTTGTGTGACTGTAACCAACTATTCCTTCTGGAGAGGAATCCTTTCTTGTCGATGTCATCATTGTAACTAGAAATAAATATTTATATATTTTGGACCTGTCAAAATGCACACACAATTATACATCATATTTATTCTGTAAAATGTATACTTTTATTCTGTACTACTCTATTTCAGACCCATTCTTCTCTACAAGGGAGGCAAGGAGCTAAATGGGTAATACAATACAATATTTATATCATTAGCTCCGCCAAGGAGGTAATGCTTCTAATGATTGTTAGCAGGATTACTTAAAAAGTTATGAATGGATTTTAATGAAATTTTGGCAAGAGGTGCGCCTCATGCCAAGGAACAATTCTTTAGAAAATTGAGAATTATCCAGATCATCTGCCAGTTTTGGCTATAGACGGATGTCTGTGCCCTCTGTTTTAGGTCTAGTATCACTGTGTAATGCATCTCTTAATAAAATAATGATTTTATGTCTCCATTACTTTAGATTAGTTGTTTTCATGATAATGTTATTAGCCCTACGGCAAATAACAGTAAGAGAGATACAGGTACATATAAAGTTTTTAAATGGTAAAAAAGACTTTCCAAAGACCCATGTGGAGGTTTCATATTTTTGGCAGCTTTCTCAGTTATTTTCATACATTTATTTATATGAAAAATTGTGTTTTTTAAAAAAACATGCTATATTATTTTATTCTTTAAATAATGTCATACCTAAACAAATGTGCAGCATTTTAAAGGAGCTGCGTTTTTCCTGAAAACAGCGTGTTGTTACTCTAGGGAAACACTTTTTCTCTGTTCTCTCTCTGTTTCATAAGGGCTCTTTAAGGTAAGGGTTTTATCTTTCATTTACACATTTGCACATTTCTGCTCTCATGCTGGGATCCCTTCTCTGCTCTCCATAAAGGTAGTCCTGGAGGGAGGTTTTCTTTGCTGCCATGACAACATGAGATCTCTTTGGTCTCCCATGACGACAGAAGGAACCGAACAGGCAGTGTTTTGGTTGATGCAGATGATTTTGAAGCAATAATTGGATGATTTACATGCACACACCATCACACACTTTTTTCTACATATATGTAAACCTTAGATGAGATTATGATTTGGAAAAGTGAAATTAAGACAATGAATGTATTTTTGTACATTACGTCCTGAAAACAAAGCTTGTTTTCTTGATATAAGAGATTCACATACTTGATTGCTGCACCAGAAGCTAATTCACATCAACATGCTAGTTCAGTCATTCCATTCACAATCTCCCTGGTAAGTAGCCTCTGCACTGCTGGGCTTAACCTCTTTTATTGCTTTGACCTTAAACACCGAAGCATAACAGTCAACTTAACCCAAATATATGCAACCACCAAACACAAAGTACCCAAAATGCTTCAATGACACAGCCATTGTTGCCCTACTAAAGACTATAACTCCATCTTGGACTAACTCACCATTGTCTCAAATCACCACATCACCTATTTATATGATCACAAACAACCTGTGATGTTAATATCAAATTAATAATAGATATGAATAAAACAGCTTCATTCTGCCATGACTTTTCAAAATGAACAAAATCAGACTGACTGAGGGAAACAACATTTCAGTATCTAGCGATTGTGCTTTAGCTTTTTTAGCTAAAATATCTCTAAAAATGTTGATTAAAAAATCTCAAATGAATCATTTATAAGTTATTTAAAGCCCCTGTCACACCTTGACTTAGAAAGCATCAGGCAAATATTGTCACGGTTTTGGTTATATTGTGCTTTACTTTGCTCTATGTTCCCTAGTTTTATTGGTTTATTCCTTTTTTTTGTTGTAATTTCTAGATTTATGTTAGTTCTCATGTTTTTCTGTTGCCCCCTTGTGTGTGTGTGTTCCTTTCCCCTTGGCTCCCTCGTTGTCTCCTCTCACACCTGTTCCTTGTCAGCTCGTTAGCCCTCCCTTTGTCTCTGTCAGCTATATATGCTCTCCCTCTGCTCTCACTCTTTGTTGGTTCCGCTGTTGTTGCTGGTCCTGTCATCGCTGCAATCGTCTCCCCTCGTCTCTCCCTGGCTCCTTCTACGCGTTTTCCCTTGATGTCTCCATGTCTGTTACATTTCAGTTAGATTTTTGGACTGCCTTTGTTAACCATTTTTTCATTAAATCTACAAGTATTCACCTCTGCCTCTCTGCCTCTGCATTTGGGTCCTCCAAACCTCAACCAAGACAAGACAAATATGAGTCGGTTTTGTATAAGTTATGAGCACGCTGAAGTACACTGGCACATGTCTACATACGTCAAGTACGTATGTCGACTTGACGCATGCTAGCATATGCTGATACGTGGGCCATAATTTACAGGTAAAGGTACGTTAAGTGTAAGTTACTCATGAGTTGTGGTGTCCGGCTTATTCAAAACCTATCAGTAAATTGTGCATAACTTATCTTTAACTTATTAATAACTTATCCACAACGTATATTAACGTATTTAAAGGGTTCCAGAGAACCGCTGTACGTGGTTCAAATTTACAGCTACTGTACAACATCGTATTGGCAGCGTTTTGGTATAAAAGTGTGTTCACAGGAGGAAACTATCCCTACTTCTCCAGACTTCATCCCCTTCCTAGGGTGAGTGAGAAGGTGTGTGTGATGGATCTTCCCTGCCAAGAAACTTCCTAGCAGACATGAAGCTGAATCCTGCAACCTTCTTTTTTTCTTTTCTTTTTTTGGCGGGTGGTAAACAGCAGCTAGGTTAATACAGCGATCCATGAAATCTGTTTATGCAGGCCGGGCACCTCCAGCCGCATTACTGCCCCCCTCAGGACACTAAGGGAAGGCATTACGTGTGGGATTGCATGGGCATTACGCTGCTGTACGTTACGCATACGTTAGGCTTAGTCCTAGGCTTAAGTCCTGGACTTGTTATGAATACGCTATGTATACGCCCAAAATTGAAAAAATACATAGAAAGTTCAGGGCTGGCTAAATCGGCAAGGTGTGACAGGGGCTTAAGTTTTTGAAGTACAACTTAGTTTAGAGAGCTAAAAGAAAACAGAATACTGAAAAGTCGGTTGTTAGTGCTTCAATGAGAAAACAACACACTATAGTTGTATTGTAAATCATCCAGAGAAGAACAATGAGATATTCATTACCTTGAGTCTCTCAGAAACCCCATCGGTAAAGCTGATAGTAAACTCCTCCACCTTCGGAACCTTCAGCCGCTTCTTCTCAGTCTGGTACTCTGTCCGAGTTTTCACCACCACCTAAATAATAATAAAAAAAAAAGGTTAAAGTAAAACTCAAGGATTGACATTTTCTCACAGTTTTTATACAATGAAGCCTATTCATACCCAGAAATACCATCAAAACACCAAAAACATGAAACCCCAAAAAGCGCCCAATAGCATCTCTAAAGTAAATATAGCTATCTATAACCCAGGTACTATTCAGTGTGTGTCCTTGGTTTAAATTCTCGTTCTGCATAAAGTTTCCATGCTCTCCCAGTGCATGCATTGGTTCTCTCTGGATACCTTGGCCTCCATCCTCAGACAGAAAAAGAAATTATGTCTGGTAGTTTAATAAAGCCTCTTCATGCCCTTAGATCAGGCATGCCCAAAGTCGGTCCTCGAGGGCCGCTGTCCTGCAGGTTTTAGAGGTTTCCTTGCTTCAGCAAAGCTGATTTACATTGATAGCTGATTAACAGGCTTTTGCTGAACTGCAATCATCAGAATCAGCTGTGCTAAAGCAGAGAAACCTCTAAAACCTGCAGGACAGGGGCCCTCAAGGACCGACTTTGGGCATGCCTGCGTTAGATGTTAGTGTGCACGAATCATTGCTACATCAATGAGTCAATTTGTTACCCTGTAATGCTTTGGCAATACTAAGGTGTGCACCGCCTCAACAGCTGGATGGAGGCAGTAACCTTGCAAGGCAAGTTTATTTCTAAAGCACATTTCAGTGGCAAACATTCCCCAAAGTGCTAATGATTAATAATCTGACTTCCCAGCTTAAAGAGGCACCATCTTCCACCTCAAAATCCCTGCAGCTCCTCAAGAAATTACAATTCAAGAAAACAAAAGTCCAATAATGTCTGTGATGACACACTAAAACAAAACACCAACAAATACGCCCCACAGTCGTTATCATGTTTTAATATAAGGCAAAAACCAGAGCATATATATCAAGTGAAATTCTGAAACAACATTTTAACTGTTCCCAGTCCTCGTACAATACTCCACAGCAAGGTTTAGGATAAAGGATGGTTAATGCTGCACAGGAAAATTGGAAGGAGAAAAACAAGGCCAATGTCTTGCTGTCCTTGTGGTTGATTTTGCTGCTGCTAAGCAGCCCACTGTCACTTTGAGACAAAGCCAGAAAGTGCTGTGCACACAAACCGATTCTGCTATCTGAATAACAAAGCTTTGGTTTGGCTCCACAGAGCTCTTATCTGAAAGCTGAAAGCTGCAGTAGGTGAATATGGTGCATTACATCGGACTCCTGAGGCGCCGAAGCCCCGCGGTTCTTAGTGTAGCTGTACAAGACGTCTTGCTTGTCATTTAGGTATAACTAATGTCCCAATTTTTACTACAACTTTCTCGTTCTTGGAGTCATTGCACAATAAAATGGAGACAGCCTCCAGGTTTAAAGCACAACTGGGTTTGTTTTGTTTCATTACATTTTCCCTCATCTCCACGTCTCACTCTTTTGTTTCTTATTTCGCAGTGAAGTGGCTATCAATCAACTGTAACTCATTTTCATACGCCTTTAGCCACCAGCAGCTCCATCTCTGATTAGAGGCGTTCCAGAATGCTTCAGAAACCAACACTTTTTAACAAAAGCCTTTTTACAGAGCAAGATGTCAAAAAAACAAACATTCAAAAATACTTTTAATATGTCCTGTGCTCATCCCAGAGCATACATGTTGTTTTCCTTATTCTTTCACCTATCAGACATGTCTGACAACATTTTTAATGCTGAATTAAAAAATAAAGAGTTAGATCAGGTCATTTCAGACTGAAGCATCTAGCCTTAAAGGTTGGTTTACCTTTTGCAAAGCATAATCTGAGATTAAGTTATGTTAATATTGGCTTATTTCAATCAGTTTTCTTTTTGTTTTGTTTTGTTTTTTTTCACGTGATCTAAAAGGCATTTATTATATTCTGTTCTGGGGTTTGTAATGTCGATTAAACTGGAATATTACAAAGAAATATCAAAACAAAGATAGGGAGTTGCTCTGCTGATTGGCTGTTTCATCAATATACTTTCAAATTGAATTAATAAAATGCTGCTAGTTTATCTTGTAGCTGGAGAAAACACACTGTATAACCACACTGTTCTATCCCTGATTTCTTACCGCCATCTGTGGGGTCTCTTAAGTTAGGAAAATCCCCCAACAGTTCTAAAATCTTGCCTTGTGAACCAGCCATAACCAAATAATCCAAACATCATTAAACATCACTCCAAAAACTGTTTTTTTATCAATACATTGCATATCTATCCCCATCAAGCTTTCTAATTTTGAGAAATTCCAACTTCTTCCAATAAAATGCATTAAATCTAAAATAAAAGCTGCCTTCTCTGAGGTTTGATTTTAAACTATGCATGTTTAATTCTGGAGCAATATTAACGTTTCGTTAGGAGATTATTTTAGATCAATCCAGACCAGTCCATAGAACTATTTTAGAACATTATATCTAGATGTTCTTTATGTCATTTTATTTTTATCGATCATAATCTCTGGCAGAGAACCTTTCCTATAAACATATTACTGAAAACCAGGTATTTCTAGGGTGACTAGAAAATTGCTCCGGTGAAGCAATAATGTTGATAAATGGGGTACTACATATTTTTATGTGTCCAAATGACGTCGCACAACACGAACAAAACGAATCTCCCCTGAGAGTTTACCCACTTTCTTGGATCACTATTTTTCCTTCGCCGCACCTGTTTCATGTTGCTCCCCTCCACTGGCTACATTGCGAAGGTTGTCTTGCATTTCCACTTCTTGAGAAGCTGCTTACTATCAGCCCTCTTTTCTACCAGAAGGACTTACAGACTGTCCAACATCAAGAAACAGTGGATTAATGATTCACCTCCAGCAAAACCTCAACCTTGGAGAATCCCTTTAATAAGATTTCATGAGGAATGTTTACTTAAATACCAATGTGACCTTGGAATGTTTGAATGTCTGAAATGAGGTTGCTTTTCAATCAGATGATGCAATATACAGCAAAAATGTTTGAAAATATTAATGCTGTTTAAACAACGTGTTCTTTTTTTACAGCGTATGTTACAACCATGAACATAAACATATTCCTTGTTCATTGGGAGTGTTGGCCCAGTGGTTAGAGCAGTGCGCTTGTGCTCTGAGAAAGTTGCGAGTACCCGGTTCAATCCCCACAGCCTCCACTCCGGGTCCCTGAGTAAAGACCCTTAACCCCAGACTGCTCCCCGGGCGCCGAACAATGGCAGCCCACTGCTCCCCAAGGGGATGGGTTAAATGCAGAGGTAAGTTTCTCCAATGTGAGATCAATAAAAGTTAAATTATTTACAGTGACTGGCAGTCTGGAAAAAGAGAGACTTAATTGCAGCAGATAAAAAATATTTGCATCCCCTCTGAAGGAGCTGCAGATATTCACAGCTTCAGTTGCTGAACCTGACATTCATTTCTAACCTGGAGAGCACTGATAAGGTGGAGCACTCAGGTTTGGTTCTACACATTATTAATCTGGGACTGCTCCCATCTAATCTGTTCATTCAGCAGAACCTTAGTAAATGATTGGGTGAAGTGACAACTACAGCCTGCATATCAAGGTTTGGTTCTAGCCAGTAACCCTGAGGAAAAAAATAGTAGCAGACACTTGGCTCTACCTTGGGCTTATAGTGGCTCTACCCTTCTCATACCTCATCCAAATTAGTTGGGTTATCAAGAGCCATTTTCTATATGTATGCTGCTATATGTTTACTGTAGGCTGCTGGAGGATATAGGGACCACCTTTCCTCATAACGCTTCGTTCTATTTTTATTCTCCTATTCTGCAGTATTTAAGCTCCGCTCATAATTTTATGCTCTCTCTGCTTTTTCTTATCATAGTAGCTTCATCTGCTCTGCTCCTTTGTGACTGTGAAATATCAGCTGTGCTGCTGCNGACCTGAAATGACTCATTTAATCATCCAAAACGTTATGGAACACATTAATTAACTGAAAAATGTTGCATAGTATGCCTTTAAACCTTAATACTGCAGTGTAATTAACTTTAATAATAATATGATTTTAATAATGCATTTTCGTTGTTTTTGAGTTCACCACTACCACAACAATTCAGTTTACAAGTTTGTTGCCTTTATGGAAAATTTTAGTCCAGACTGACATCTTTCCTTGGCTCTACCTTGGGCTTATAGTGGCTCTACCCTTCTCATACCTCATCAAAATTAGTTGGGTTATCAAGAGCCATTTTCTATATTTATGCTGCTATATGTTTACTGTAGGCTGCTGGAGGATATAGGGACCACCTTTCCTCATAACGCTTCGTTCTATTTTTATTCTCTGCAGTATTTAAGCTTCGCTCATAATTTTATGCTCTCTCTGCTTTTTCTTATCATAGTAGCTTCATCTGCTCTGCTCCTTTGTGACTGTGAAATATCAGCTGTGCTGCTGCCATCAACACCTTTGTTTATAAATGTTGGAGCTCGGCCTGTTTTTCAGTGTAGTCCTGTTTCTCTGACTGACTAACTGGATGTGCTCTCTTTCATCCTCTGACATAGGAACTGGCTTGGAGCTTGTCTGCCTGTCTGTGTCTTTCCTCGTTGACAGTTACCTTTTTTACCTCTGCTTCTTTCTGTATGTCTGCTTCTGTCTCCTTGAAACCCAGTCAGCCTTGGCAGAAGGCCGCTCACACTCAGCCTGGTTGTGCTGGAGGTGTTTTCCTGTTAAAAGGTTTTTTTTCCTTTACATTGTCGCTGCATGCAAGCTTGGTGTGAGGGATGGCTGAAGAGTCAATGACAGAATACAAGCTCATCCAGGGGGAGCATGCCTTGCAAGTCAATGGCTTGATACAATCAGCTGATTTTCCTTGAGAAAAATTTTTATTCAATCTGACTGTATTGTTTCAGTAAATAAGTAAAATTACTCCAATCCCAAGTGACAAGTAAGACTCATTTTGGTTAATTTTACAGTAATTTTCTTAAGTATTGCTCCTTTAAGAAAACTTTCTGCTTTCTGCAATTGTGTACTCCAGTTTTGATCTTCCTTACAGAAAATCTTT